ATTTTCATCAATGATATTAAATATGCACCTGAATCTGGAATTACACTGAGATTAACGCCGCTTATCTCTATTTCCACCATGTCTATGTCTATTTCATTGGTTGCCACACCAAATGTATATGCACCCCTGGATTATCATGTTCATAACTGTCCTTTACATGAATAATAGTTTCAGTTTTGCATACTTTTGAAAAGTGATCCAACGTTCCATGTTTTCTCAGTTCCATGTTTTCTCTCTACTTCGTTTTTCATGTCTGAACTCGTGGTGTTTAGACTGAGTTGGTTTGTCAAACGACTTCGGTTTCACCATACTCACAGTTTCTGGTGTTCCACTTTCATTAAAACGTTATTCGTGTTTCTCACCTGCGTAAAAGTGGGAGAGTCCTGAAAATAACTTGTACACCTGTCCCTGCTGAATACAGCATAAGCGCGCATCTCCTCTGACATGTATTTTTAATTTTCTGTTTTTGTTCATTATTCATTCCGTCCGTTGGTTCTGAAACGATCAATCCTTTTCCGTCAGCGAAGAGTTTAAAACTGTCTAGCCAGCGTGGCCCTAATGTCTCCCGCTCCGGACTTCTGTACGGTTCGAATTTCGTAATAAATTTCACATTTTCCTCCATTTTCTCAAAGAAAGTTGGCTCACAGTTTTGCACTAGAATTAATTCTCGTCGCCAGTTTTGATGTCTTCGAATTAAATCGCATCACGAATCAAATCACTTGACGAATTGTATCAGTTTGATACGCTTGTGCTTTTTTCATATCCATAACTCTAAGAAACGCTACATCCGGGTCCTTCACCGGCTTATCATAAAAAGCGGAATTAAAACAGCGGAACGAGTAGCTCTAACAAGTTAACAGTTCATTCAAATGTCAAGTCAAATTAAACAAATAGTGCACTAATGAGGGTACTTTGAAGAAAAAAGAGAAAGAGAGAGATATAAATTAAATAAAAATTGATCAAATGACGTTAGTTCAATGCATTTAGGTCACTGGTCAATAAAAAAATAAATAAAAAGAAAATAAAAATAAAAAATAAAAATAAAATAAAATAAATGACATCACAAAATATCGGCCTGATGAAGGTTTGACATAAAATTGAAAAAGAACGGTCCAACATAAGTTTAAGGATTAAAAAATGATGTTGGCCCTACACTGGATCAACGACAAAAATGATGTTGGTCCTACGTTGGCCCAACGTTGGCCCTACATCGGATCAACGTCCAAAAATGACGTTGGCCCGACGTTGGCCCAACGACGGCAGGCCAACGTCAACAGTGCCAACGTTGGCCCAATGTTGGCCCGATGACGGCATGCCAATGCCGACCAAGTGCCAACGGTGCCGACGTTGGCCCAACGTCATCTTGCTATCTGGGAGAACAGCTTGAGATGGGTCCTCTGACTACAAACAGAAGCGTCCGCAATATTGTTGACAATGGCTAGGAGACTGCAGTAAACCACCAGCTGCTTCGATGTTTCCCTTCTCATGTTTCATGATTCAATTTCAAGCAGCCATCTCTGTGCAACAAAATGTCCAATTCATTATAAATATAGACGAACTTATGACTCGATTTAAGACCGTTAAGAACTATGCACCAGTTATTTTAATTTAAAAATATCAGTAGGCCTAAAATGATTGTTTATTTTTTCTTCAAGCAAGCCTATCAAGCTTCTGCTTTTAACAGTTTCACTTTTAACAGTTACTCGGAACTTTATTTGTATTTGTTTGCTAAAGATAATGACAAAATAAAATGTGGTAAATTAAAGAAAAAAAAAACTTCTGGGACCCTTATGTTGTTTACTTTGTTCAGGACACACCAGTACAGTTACAGGACCATTTTTAAATCATAAAATCGTAAAATTAATCTAATAATTAGAAATTATATTTTATTCACAACAAGACATGGCAAGCAAAAAATTAAAAAAGAAAAAAAAAACTGTGACGTCTTTTGCTGCAGGTCATGTTATTTTATTGTTGATGTTTTTAGATGTCTTAGCCATTAATAAAATCCTCAATTCAGTTAGCCCTATATCCACGATAAACAGCTAAGGAACAATCTAAAAATATTACCCTAATGTTCTACACGAAACGCGGCAAAACTATACTTTCCATCAAAAAGTAATTTGCAAAACCTTTGTTGTGAAAAATATACTTGAAGCTGAGGAAAAAATGTATCAGTAAAATAAACGTGCCCGTGATTTACTTTAAGCTTACCGGTAGTCAAATTTTTGTTAATAAAATTAAAATCCTGCAGTTACTCAACGGGCTGGCTTAAACGCTCTTAGCTGAATACGAAAATTGTGGAGTTTTAAAAAAGGTAGAACTCCCGAATATATCTTTAGCTTTATTTTACATTTTTTTCTTCAAATGGGCCTTTATTGACGAATTCAGTGATCACGTCAAGTGCCCATGAAGGCTATGCAACGCATGCGCAGACCTGTTATTCGTAAAGGTGAAGGATATTTACATACGGGTATGCCGGTCTGCAATGTGAAAGGATGTACGTGAAGCCAGGGAGCAATCATTAAGGAATAAATAATTATCTTGAATAAAAGCACTGGATGACCAAATATAGATAAAGTGCTTTTAAGAGGACAAATTTCATAAATAATCAATAAGGGTTTTATAATCATGGTAAATTGTATTAGTTGATAACTATAAATATAACATCAGTGCCTTTACACAAGCGGTATGCTCCCACACAACAGTCCGCCATACTGCTTCACATATCTCGGGTGTTGCACACGGCTCTTTGTTCGCCTCCAAAGCGGGGAAGTTAAAAGGCCCGACACACAGTCGAGACTGTGTCTGCAGGTAATAACAGCTGGTTGGTGTTGACATTATGATCATAATGGGTGTCTTTTGAGATATATTGCGTCAGGATTCGTTTCTAACTTTGCGAAATGATTTTGACCATGTGTTTTTGTCTGATGTAGCAACGTGTTTAGATGTCGGTCAAAACTTTACCAGATACCCAGACGCCTTACAATTGTTTGTTTCATATTCAAATGACCATCAGTATAACATACTGAAGCAGGGATATATATAGGCATTTTAAACATACTGTCAACTGACATTTTACTGACGAAATAGTAGCACATGTATGATGTACACTATTTGGTGTGCATGTGTTCTGTTCACAGTACGTTAATATATCTGGAATGGGTATCAGTTGCTCAGTATAACATGCGGTATATCCACTGTGTCTAAGGGCCCATTTGAATATGCACCCAGGGGCACAAGAGCATGTACGCACACACATTCACTCATGCACACCTACAGTAACAGAGAGAGAAGAGGGAGAGAGAGCTCTTTTATGTAAAAACATGTTATAGTATGCTAAATGCATATATTAGATATGAAAATTTTGGTTCAAATTCAATGTCATAATTATTGTTATGAAAAAAAAAAGAGTAATTTGGTATTAAATCCTAAGGATTTAGTTGATGGTTTTAGAATATATTTGTGTGTATTTATTTATTATTTTTTATTTATTTCATGCTTTTTAAAATTTGAAAAATAATTACCATAATCAGGCCTAACAAACTACCAGACTCGGCACCTAAGGATCCTGAATTAACCGGTATATCGGACCACACTACCCNGTTACGCATGGGGAGAAAAGTTTACTGGCGATTTTAACTGGACTGGAAAACAGCTGGTGGTGGATTTTGAAAAACTAACTCTTTCTGTGCTTTAACTTTTAGGGTTTCCATTGCTTTATTCAAGTTTCCTGATAGTGTGAACACAAAACCAAGGTAGCAATATTCTGGGCAGATTTCTATCTGTTCAGTTCCTTGAGAAATGCTTGGAATGGGTACGTTCTAACAGAAGCTAGGGGTTTCTCACTAAATTGCAGACGCGTTTTCCCCCAGATTATTTATTGAGTTGAATACACATGAAAATGAATGCTCAATATTTAGATGTAAAGCGAGTTTCATTATTGGTTTGATTTTGGCTGTTAAAAAAATCTTTTACTTTGAAAGCTGTGATATTTATTTCTGAAAATACATGGAGGTCTGTACTAAGTACAGAATTTCCAGACACTTGCAATCATGATGCAAATATACAACTTAGTTTGCTTATCAGCTGAATAACTAGGCCGAAAATGTTTATCTATGAAAAAAAACAAAAAAACATTCAAATGTGTAATTACTGGTGCGATTTCCATTTAAGCAATTGCAGCGATGGAAATATTTGAGTAAAGAAGAATTGGCAAATAATTCCGCCTAGATGATATCGTTTTTCTGCTGAACACGGTTAACAGGTGGTATGACGTGCTGTTATACCGGAAAAGCTACTGAATCAATTCAAGTTCGGTCGTGCCGCTTTCATTGATGGGCCTGCTCGGAAAGTTCCGAGTAAGAAGACTTCAGATGCTAGAATAATTTTGGCTTTACATATGATATTAAAGAGTACATCGGGATCAAAGGCGGTTTACAACAGGCGTAGGCCTATTTAAGTTTAAGGGAGACCCTTAGAAGAGGGAAAAATATTCAAATGTGTAATTACAGGTGCGATTGCTTTCTGCTTATAAGCGGCTTCTAAAGATGTCTGGCACGCCTACTGAAGCTGCTAAACGATAATTAATTACCCCCCTAGCAGCTTCAGTAGGCGTGACAGACATCTAAGTTGATTGCAATTTAGCGAGAATCCCCTCGGCCGGAGATAGATCTATCCACAGTTAGCTAGTACGGTAGGGTTTGGGAATGGTCCCTTAGATTATTTAATATGTGGCCAGGTTTGTGGAAAATTATTACTTTCGTTTATTTATTTATTTATTTATTTATTTATTTATTATTTTGGACGTTTACTATCAGCTTCCAGGTTTTACAGTATTTATCCAAATAGAGCAGCCTGATGTCCGCCCGGGCTCTCGGATGTTATAACAAGGCGAAAGAGGTTTATCTCTAAGATTTCTACCGTACGTCGATAGAAACATTAAAACTTTTGCCCAATCAAAATTGAGACCACTGATTCACCGCGGAGTTGACCTACTTATCGCCAACATGGAGGTCGTCACATGATTTCTTCCGACTTCATTGCTATGCTCTAAATTTGTGCTGACACTCCCGGAAGAAAACACACAGAGGGATTATTATTGTTGATGATCATGCCTGGCCACAGCGAGGGTGGAGTACGGGCGACTGGAGGGCAGGTGGACGGTAAGCTTGGAATGAATACATGTATTTTTAAAGCCTTCTCTCCATTCCAAAGACTTGAGCTGAAAGAACGGCCAGAGCCCATACCGCAGCTGCATCTCATGACCGGTACCCTCTCCTGACCGCACTAAAAGTATTTGTGATGCAGGAGACAACAAACTTTACTGTGCATGTCTTTAAGATAATCCGTTTGAGGAGGGGAGTGTTTGTTTTTCACAGCTTTTTCGTGACGAGGAGTAGAATTTTTATTTTATAAAATCACAATAATTGAATATCATTTAAGGAAGTAGATACTAGTATGAACTAGTAGAACTAGCAGGGGCTGGTCTTACACTACAGCCAGGAACCATACAAATGAGTGAATCTGACAAAAGAAAGTTGTAGAGATTTATTTTTAATAGCAAGATTATGACTGCTGTAAGTGTCGGTACAGAAGCCACTTGGCTTAGCTACAATTTATTCATGTCAAATTATTGCCATGTATACAACATTGGCACTGTACTAGTATAATAATTAAACAATAGTACAGAAACCACTAGATTATTTTCATCTTTCACTTGTTCTGTAATAAAAACTAATATAAAGCTGGTTTCAATCACAAGTAAAAGCAAAAGCTGGTGAGGAATAAATAAAAGAAAAATGAATTTATAAGAAAATAGATGTCATCATGAAAAAAAAAACCCTTGACAGTGTACAATTAAAGAATTTGTCAACACACTGTAAAATGCACAAGTTGTGTGACTTCTGATGATATAAATATTTTTAAAAGAATTTGTAACATTTTGTGCAGGACATAATCATTTATGATTTGTGAATGAGTGACAGTATTATATAATGAAGTTAGATGTACATGGCCTCTGTAATCGGGATAAAATGGAGGGGGGGGAGGAGAGGACATGAGTCATGTGATTTAAGTTACTTGTTAATATATGTAATCAGTACTCGAGTGTGCACCTGAAGACAATAGTATCAGGGAATGATTGTCTTCACCACCATAAACTCGGACCATTAATTCATTTTTAAAACTGGCTCATAGTACAAATTAAGTAAGTCTTGAATAATTGAATAAATACAGTAATAGAAATATATCAGTTGAATTTAGGACATATATTGTAGGTCGATAGTTTAAACTAAAGTACATTGTTTTTTTTTTAATTTTGAACTTGTTTTGCAAGTGAATGAAATAGCATATGGCTCTTCACCACAACATGCCTTTACAAGTACCAAATTTCAAACATCAGTAGTAATCTGCTCGATTCTTTTTGGGAGGGGTACCTCAAGGACTTGGAGTATTATTCAAATATTTTCTGTAAACATTTTTTTTTTGTATTGATCTTACTTTATAAACACTTTTAAAATATATATGTTTGTTAGATATCAATAAATCATTGAATAAATCTCACGAGCCCTACGGACAGATACCTTTTCAGTTTGTATTAATCATGAAATGTTGATACAAATATTTCAGTTATATGGCAGTATGTATGTACATTTTCTTGTGAATCTGTTTTAACCTTAACATGTTAAAATCAAGTTGTTAGTCTAGAAATAAAATTTGAAAATTAAAACATAATCATCTCAAATGATCACCAAACTTATTCTAGAGATGGTGATGGCAATGATAGACTCGGCCTATGATAAAAATGAAGACACTCAAGAGATGATAGGATCAGCCCTCCTTGAGTTGGGGAGAAAACAGCCAGCCCTGGTCCTTAGTTCTTGTTATACTTATCTCAAGAAGCATTCCAAGGTATGTTCATAAAGCCATTTATTTATTTATTTTTTTTTTACAATTTTTTTTACTACCCGTGTGAGTGTGTTGTAAATATTGTTGCTATGTTTCTGCTGTTTAGTGAACAGTGTTTTCTTTTCAGAATGAGTTGTAGTGAATACTGTGTATTGCTTCTATAATAACAATAGTAATAATAATAATAATAATAATTAATATATCTGTAATAAATATTGTTGCCATGTTTTCTTCTGTTTGGTGTCTTGTTATTTTTATATCTATTTTTACACAACCTCCACTTGTTGATTATGATTAAAGACCCATTCTGCTATGTATCTTTAATATCAGTTTGCCCTTCTGTCTCCCAGCTTAACCATGGCCACAGAGTTGTGATCCTAAATGCCATAGAGAAGATACTGAAAGAGACACTGGATGAACTGAAGGAATCTCTGGCAGCTGATTTGATAGCTCAGGCATCTGAAGAACTCACAGAATCAAAGGTGATATTTTCAAGATAGAATGAGGGCATTGTGTCTTGAAATATATGCGTTTTAGGATAAGAATGATTTTCGAGTACACTGGAATTTTGGTCTGTATTTTATGAAATGTGGATACATATTTACATGTCTGTTTATATTTATACACACATGAGCATTTACACTCACACAAGCACACACTTGAAAAATAATTTAATATGTAAATTGCATTCAGAAATTTATAATTTTTAGAAGAAATATTGAATGTTTCTAATAATAGTAACATTCTCCAGAAGAGAACCTGACTTTGTAGATAGTCAAATTGGGAATGCACCCTATGAATTGTGACTAGCAAAGAACCTGACTATTTCCAGGAAGTGGTGCCAGAGTGGCAGACGGCTGCCAGTGGTGTCCTGGTGGCAGTAGGCAAGAAGTACTGCACCCTGGTTATGGAGAACCTGGTGGCGAAATTCCAGCCTGGAGTGATGCCACATTTCTTTGTTGTACAGACCATGGCTAATCTGGCCACAGCAAACTGTAAGTGCTACTGTGGTCTGATTACTTTGTAAGTCCAGTATTAGATTAAATTTTTCCTCTTATGTGAATAATGACGCGAGTTCAGTATATCTTTCAGTTAGTTATTTTATACTAAAGAGGAACTATTTATACATGCAAACTTTCTTACAGTTTGTCATGTAATATGTAAAGAGTGACACTTGGTGTGGATTACAAAGTTTAACGTGAACTGTACTCACTCACTACACTTAAAAATAGCTCAGTCACGCTGCCCCATTAGGCCATGGTTCTGGAAACCTTCACTTGTAGGGGTTGTGTGCTTAGCAGTCATGGTGAACTTAAACTAAACTCTGACTTTGTGATGAAAAAAATAATATTGGATATCTTTACTGTTTCAACATTTAATTATCTTTAAAATACTGCATATCTCTCTTTCTCTTTATTTTGTAGCATTTGGAATTGTGCCTTTCTTGAATGTAGTCTTGGGAACAATGCTCCCTCTGCTGGGCATGGCCAAACATGACAACATGAAGTGGGTGTTCTCCTCAGGTAGGAGTTTTTATTTTCAATTAGCCTGCAATTTAAGTATTTTGACCATGTGCCATTGCTCTTGTCGTCTGATCACATCTACTTATGGGATTTTTGTTGAATCAGTCAGATAGAGATTTTGAAAATTTATGCAAAAACCAGTTAATTTACAATTACTCTAATGACTTGTAACTGTGTGAAATATGAACAGTAGAACCATGACTTGTTAAAAACAAAACAGTCTTTGTTATGAAGACAGTGTTTGCAGAGTATCTGTGTGTCAACCAATAATAAGATTGCAGATTTCATAGTTTTAAATCGCGTGTCTTTTCTGATGAAATTTGTCCACAATTCATGCAATTTCCAGCTCTGGGAAAATTCAGCGAGGCCATATTGGACTATGTTGTCAATATTGAAAAGGCCCCAGATCCTAATGTGAAGAAGGAAGCCTTTGCCGGAGAGATATACTCTGCCTATGACATACTTTTTAATGTGTGGTTACAGTCCAAGGAGGCTAAGGTAGGTTTTAAAATTATGAGATACTATAGTAATAATTCTAGATAATTTATATAACTCTGCATGTTTCATAATCAGCATCATTATTGATATCACTTAGCTGAGAATTCATGCCAGTTTTACTGAATCTTAACCAGATAAAGCTCTTGATTATTAAATATTTTAGCTTTTTTATTTCTACACACAGTTGTTGTGAAACACGTTTGAATTTTCTGTAAAAAAACTCATAGTGAGCATTTTTATTTTAATTTTAAGGGTAATGCATAGGAACGTAGTACATGAGACTTTTTATCACTTTAAACATATGCTTCAAAACAAAAAATCTGTTTAATTTTACCTTTTTTTACTTCCCAGCTCCGTCTTGCCATTGTTGATGCCTTGGGGAACATGGCGCACATCATGAGTCGCGAAAACTTGGAGGAGCAGTTACCACGGCTCATCTCCGGCATTTTGAACCTGTACAAAAAGCACGCCGCGGAGTCCTTCCACATAACACAGGGCCTCTGCATGGTGCTGGACGCGGCGGTGCAGGGCGAGTGCACCATACTGGAACCACATTTGGACTTGGTGCTAAATAATCTGTTTACTCAGGTATGCTATTTCATACCTGTAATAAATGGAATGGTCCAGAGACCAGTTTCACAAAAGAAGTTAAGATTGAAAATAGGTGTGAATTTTAAGACTCAAAATTTACTCTTACCACACTTTTTTTTTGTCTACTCCATGGTATGTTTTTGCTTTTTCATACTGCAGTAATGTTACTTCATTACAAAATGATATTGTGAGTAATGCATATTAGGACATGGGCATTTTATTTCATATAAAATCTGCTGAACTGTTACTTGCTGAACTGTACCATACCCTTTGATAAGGGATCTCTTACTCATATTTTATGAATCCAGTTCAAATAGTTTTTTTCATTCAGTTGAATGGTATATCTATTGTTTCATTATATGTCCTCCTTTGTGTGCTGAATATTCACCATCAGTACTATGATTATGATATACCATTAAGTGATAACAAGGTGAAAAATTATCTTCCAGGTTATCTGTCATTCTAACCTATCGTTTTGCAATCTCTTGTATTGTTTTGTTTTTGCTTTTTATTCCCATGATTCCTATTTTTTGATATTAACCATATTATTTTTATTTACTCTAAATTTTTACATTTAGAGAAACAAAAAAATATTATATGTACAAATCAAACGGAGTGAGTGATAAGATAATAGTTACAAAATAATTCTAGGCTTGGTATTTTAATATTAAGATACTATGGTATATTTTACACTATTGGAGAATAGATTTAATTTCAGATTTAATATAATTTGTTATATAAAATAAAACATTAATTAGCATTAAATTCAAATTGAAAAGCATATGGAAATATTTTATATTAGAAAAAATTATTTGTTAGGATTTGAAGTCATTTATTCTAAGAAGATAAAAAAAGGGGGTATTTAAGTCTGATTGACATTTTTATGACAATTTTAGGCCTGTAGCCTTCCAGATTTCAATGTCCCAGGATCTATCAAAAACCACAACGAGGTGCTAAGGTGCTTCTCTGTAATTGGTGAGTTAAGTAATGACAACTATTATACTTTTGTCACACTTCATATTGATAGCGAAACACAAACAATATGCTAATACTACCTTGCATACATTCCTTAAAAATTATACCAAAAGCTCTATACATGACCACTTGATTGAAAGACCTTTTACAGTAATGATATATGACCCAGGTCAGAAATTTTCAATAAAACTACTTGTTTATCTAACACTGTTATTATTGACTATAATAAGATAACTTATATGAAGAAGGAAAACATGCAACACAATATCACAATGTTACAGATATAACAAATGCATCTCTGGACATTTCTGTTTTTTTTTTTTTTTGTTTTTTTTTTTTTTTTTTTAATCTGTACGTTTCCAGCCAACATATTTACAATGGAAAATTCACAAAAGCTAGACATTTATAAGAAGAAAACATATAACTTAAGATCTGCTTTCTTAATTTACAGTATTTTCAGTCAAAGCTAGGCTATTCAGTTAACGGTGAATATAGATGAATATCAGCATTTTTTTACAGCCACTGCTTCACAGAATTGGGCTATTTGGTTATCAGTGAATGTAGATGAATTTTCAGCATTTATTTTCCAGCCACTGCTTTCTCAGACAGACTGGTGGGTTACCTACTGACAAAGTTGGAGACAAGCAATGAAAGAACCAAGATTGCCACACTGATTATTTTCAAACAACTCATCAATACTGGAGGTGGGGATGAATAAGTCTGCATTGTGTTTATGTAAATTAAGGCATTTATATCTTTATAAAGCACGAAAAGTTCCATTGTTAATAGCCAATTAGCCTTATATTTTCTTTAAGGCTTTTAAAAACAGTTGACAAATTTATTATATGTGAACTTGTTTTCAGGTCTAGTGTCATCATCACTGTGCAAATAACTCTTTGTCTTCCCACAATTTAAGACATTTTTTTCACTTCCATTAGTTATGAAAGATTAGGTAGCAAGTAATAATATGTTGATTTAATTTTTGCTACAGTTTGAAACACACAAACGATTTGCTTACTGTCATTGATGATGAGTTAGAGTTGAACTCACAAATGACACTTTGTTTTGCTACAAATTTATACACAGTACAACTTTGTTTGCTTTCACTGTTCAGACTAACACGTGATTGTACTTATAATGACATGTTTATCAAAATATCTATCTATTAAAATGAATACTTTGTCTCCAGGAGAGGCTATGGAGAACAAGAAAGCTCTTATTGTGTCTGGATTGAAAGGATTGGCACTGAATGAAACTAACAACAAGGTAAATGCATACATGTTAAATGTTTACAAATTGTTAGACAACATATTGAGGCAATGTCTTTATTGATATATTAAGTTTTTCTTCTCCAGAAGTAGAATCAAGAATTGTTATACTGGGTGTCATTAAAAGGAAATAAAAATAAAGAAAAGAAGATAAGATCATAGAAGATGATTTATATAGGTTTCATTTTTGATCAGTTTTAGTTTTTTTAATTGAAATATTTATGTGTATTATTTCTCAGGTGAAGAAAGTGATAGCCCAGGTGGTCAGTGCTATGGCCCATCATGGTCACCTGGAGGAGGAAGGTGGACAGTTGATGGTTGACTTTGTCATCAGACAGTGCTCTTTACCAGATGATACAAAAGTAGGCCCTGTTTTGCAAATACATGTAGACAGTAAAATACTGTTTTATACTAAACAGAGAAATACACCATAAGCTGATTCTCACACTGATTATCAGTTAGATTGGTAAAATAGGGCTATGTCAGAATTTTTTGGTGGTTCCGTATATTTACCCCCTTGACATTGGTTTATCTAATTTGAAATACAAATGATACAATATAAAGACTAAACAGATAAATTACAATACTGGTAATTGTTGTATTATTTTTAAATCATTATTTATTTCTCATGTCAGGTTATTTCTCAGATCAGATAACATACAAAAGGATCAATAAGAATAAATGTTATTGCTGCAATATGTCTATTATATAATTTTTTCATTTATTTGACAGACCAGGTCCAATGACCCAGAACATGTGAGCAACTGGGCCCTGAGGAAGATGTGTGAGAATGTGCTGCATCTGATTACTACCACAATAGAGGGAATAGATGTAGTAAGTGGGCACATGTCTTTACTCTCAGAGATGCATTCTACAGAAGAATTAACAACAAAAAAAAAAATGGAATTCAAAGATTGGTTATATATATTACAGATGCTCATTGTAAAAGTTTAAAAATTTTAAGCCATATTAAATTACTGCTGATAAAATCATATTAGAGAACCCTGATTTTATTTTTATGCAATGTTTTGTATCAAAGAAGCACTAGTTTTAATTTGCTGTGTGTCTAACCACCAGGTTCTATGGCCATATCTTCTGGAATTTCTTCTCCCAGTTCAGCACACGGACGCCATGGGGGTCATTTGTAAGAATGTCGCTTTCTTGGCCAGTCAGAAGAGAGAAAATAATGATGAAGACTACATGATTGACTTTGAGGATAAAGGTATAATAATTTTTGTGATAATAGTAAAATCTTGTCATGTGTAGCAGTTGCTTTTTTCATAGTTTAGCCATGATATTTATCTGACATAAGCTTATAAGGTTCTACAAAAATATGATCGGCATTTTTGTCCTTCTATTCATTTAGAACTCGATATGAATGTTGTAGTTTCTCTGATTACTGGAACAAGCAGTAAAAATTGAAGAACTGTTGTATATGTTTCTTTTTCTTTCCCAGCCAATGTTCCCAAACCAACAGCTATGATTGCGAGATTAATTGTAAGTGGCATGCTATAGCAACTGACACATTGTAAAAATTAGTGCAATACATATGATATCCTTGAGCCCGTTTTACAAATACATCAGTTTTTGAGCAGTACTAGTACTGTTTAACTCAAATAGGTATGTTAAGTTGACACAATGATACAGGTGACATATCAATATATATAACTGCCATCATTTTTAGTGGAAATGTGTGAAAAAATGTTGAGAATTTGGTTTAAAGGCCCAGTTTTCTTCAATTAAATGTGAGAAAAAAGAGATTAGTAGCCCGAGTGTACAATTTTTGTGAAAAGCAATTTGGGTGGAAAAATCTTTTAAGTTGGCAGCTCAACTTAAAACCTGATTGATGACTTAGAATTCTTTGTAAATAAAACAGGGCAGAAGACGACCAAGTCATGACCACTTATTTTAATGAATCCTTTACCTTATACATTATCATGACAGGTGCTTGCTGGTAGACCCACAAATGGAGGCAATAGGGGACTCCATGTCCTACAGGCCATGCAGGGACTGTCACCCAATCTTAATGAGGGCCTGGTGGAACTGTGGGACACTGTCATACCAAAACTAGTCCAGTATTTAGAAGGTAAGTAACAGTGTGGGCTGCAAGGAGAACTTTGTGTGCTTCATATAATATGATCATTCAGGGGCTTGTGGTCAGTTTGATGGTAGAAGGTTAGCAACAGTTTGATCTGCAAGAGATTCTTTTACAGCTTTTATATGGAAACAAATATAGATCTTTCTCTAGAAATTAAAACAAAATGTTTTTGATTGACTGTAGTTCTGGCTTAATTCTTAGTTGGCCACAAGAATAATGTACCTGTTGGACTAAAACATTACCTTATCTATTTTTTCTTTATACCAAACAGAGACAATATTTTATCTAAGTTAACTACTGCTGATCAGATATATTTTGTGTAAAAGTGGAGACCAAATTTTGTGAAAATGTAAACATTCTGCAAAATTTGAAAAGGGCAGTATTTTACCTGAAGGTGAGATATCACAAATCATCGTAAATCTAACAATTGAGATTATAAGTGTTCTGTTTATTTCCTCTCAGGTGCAGAAGATGAGAAGTGGAACCAAAAGAACTGGGAAGATTTGGCACTCAAGGTAATTGCCGTCTGCTAGAGGTTTATTTGCAGTTTAGATATTTGTAACTGTTAAAAACTGATAGACATTAAGACAATGCCATTAAATCTGTCTTAGCTCTCCAGTGCTTGAAGTGTAAATATTATAAGTTGTAAATTATAATAACATATAATAACAGTAAAGCTAATTTGTTAGTGAAATTAATGATTATTGGCAATTGTAGATGTTGTCCAAATCCCTGGATGAGGTCAATGATGAGGACTGGATAGAAGAGTTAGGAGCAGTTATGGGAGAGCAAATACCACTATATACCAACTATCCTGAGGAGAAGGTACATATCATTTTAAGTAATGGCATAATGGTGTAATATAAATCAAACCTGAACAATGTATCAGCGTTCTGAACTTTCCAAGTCATACACACATAAGACGTCATGTATCTTATATTTGTATATAAATGATCCAGTACTGTAAAATTCATAAGATTTCTGTAATACTTGCAAAGAGCCATTTTCTTTCATTAATAAAATTATTATTGTTACAATATTGAAGAATGGTCACTTTGTTTTAAATTTGTTTTCAGAACTTCATCTTTAAATGCATTGGTATAATCATGAGAAAGTCGACTAAGAAAGAATTTGTCAACAAGCATCTGACTGTTCTCTTCAATAGTGTCAACCACACTCACCAGGTGGAGAGAGAAGTGAGTATTAACTTAGTTTTCAAGAAAGGCAAGGTGTTAGGAATTGTATTGAAATATACATAAAAAATATAACAGAATATATATATATGAATTTGTTATGATAATATTATTGATATTGTAGGGATAGATATAAAAGGGTTTGGCAAATAAAATGAAGTATATGTTGATTTCTTTATGTTATTGAAATATTAAGTGAACTTGTAGAAATGTGTTGGACATACATGTACAGTCACTCTCCGATATTGATATAAGAGTATAAAATTAATGTTTCAGCTTCTGAGATGTCTACATTTATGCAATCGAATCATTACGTAATCTTTTAGAAATGTTCTGACTGTTATTGCTATTTTTAACTTGTGAATTATCTTCACTTCTAAAAGGTGACCATAAAACTGAAGTTTTCCATGAATTGTCATTTAGAACTACCTCAAATACTTTGATCTTATACTTCAGTTTTTAAAATATTTTAGGGGGTGGCTATTGCATTTGGATTTGCTGCATCCTCTCACTTGGACAGTGTGCTGACAAAACTGGAGAGCGTTGCCAAAAATGAAATGGCCAAAAAATCATCTGGATTTCTTGGTTTTTTGAAGGTATCAGTCTAAGACATTATTTATTTGAATGTTCTGTATATGTGCAGGTATGAAAGAATGTGTTTCATTGATTAAGTAATAGAGAGGTTTTTAAAATCTGTTGTTAGAATTACTCTGAATATGCAGTACCATCACTCTTAGAGAAATGATTGTGTTTATTGATACAAATTGCAAAAAAAAAATAAAAAGAAAAGAATCTTTACTGATAATAAGTTTATACTAATTAATGGTGACTTTATTGATTAACGTTTGAAGAATAACCTCTTATCTCTTCACCTGTTGATTTTCACAGGAAAAAGCCACCAGCTCAGATGCAGATTTGGAGAAGATTAAAGCCACCACCATGTTATGTTATGGCTTTGTCACTTTGTATGCCCCGGCCACTCTCATTGTGTCCAGAATAGAGGCTACCATTATGAGGAGTATCACACCTCACTTCTCACATGTCAAGGTAACCTGTCAGTCATGTTGTATGCCTCTGTCAGTCACACCATATGCCCTGCCCACTCTTTTATGCATGTTAAAAATAAACATCCTGTCATGATGAAAAACTTTTTTAATTGTAAGAAAATTAGTAATTGAATATTTATGTATTCTAGCTTGTTGTTTCTTTCACCAATTATGTTTTCAGATAGAAATTTTAAAAATACAAGAAAAAGTCTGTTTAATTTTGAGTTGTATTTGTAAACTTCAGATCATGATACACATTTGTATCTTATTTTGTTTCAGTGTACTGAGCATAAATTAAAGGATTTATTAGTTTTTCTATAAACTGATCTTTGGATATCATATTTATTTTGCATATCATTCTTATAATATTATTAATAAATATCTGTCGTCGTGTCAGGACAACATGGTGAAGCAGAACCTGATCCGTACAGTTGAGTTGATAGGGAAGGCTCTCCACCCAGACCATCTGATGCAGACCCATAGTCTTACCAACAGAGGAGAGCTTCTGGGACACATGCAGGTGAGGAGAGAGAGAGAGAGAGAGAGAGAAGGAGGGAGGGAGGGAGGAAGGGTATGTCTCTTTTAAATGGGAATATGGAGATGGAAAGAGATCGGTATACTTCCATCATGAAATATGAAAAGAATAGAAGGTTATGCTTGTGCATTGTGCCAGTAGTAAAGTTTTATTTCAATTTTTTTGTAAAGGAGAGATTGTCACCGATGCTGAGAAGATTCCAGTCATTTCAATATAAATATGCTTTGCTTCCATAGTTGATATAATTGATAAAACTGTGCTTTGTGATTTGTTTACAATTTCAAGATTTGAAAGAATAACATCAGTGCAGCTATTTTACCATTGCTTATTGAAAATGATCTTAATGATTAATTTGCAAAAAATGTTCCTGCCATACTGAATTGTTGAAGATGAGCTAACTTAAAATAAAGAAGTTCAACTTGATTTTATGTGTGGGTATCTTTATGTCTTGCTTTTATTTTTTGTTCAAAATGATGCAATTATTTGCAGGATCTCTTTGGAAATGTATGGAGACTGGCAGATCTACAGGTCTCCATTTTGTCTGACTAACATGCCTGCACTGTTTATCTGACACATTTACTTCTCTTTAACAAATTAGTACATTTTTCCTTTTGTAGTTTTTTCCTTGTTTGTTTTGACACTAATTATTTTTCTGTCTAAATCTACATGGCAAACAAACATGTTCAATTTTGATATAAATTCCACACATTTAAAGTTGCTTTTATATCCACACTTCTTAAATAATCCTCTTTACATTCTAGCAACAGCTTTTACAGTTGATATTAACAGTATTATGTCATAGCAGTAACAGCACATTATCATATGATAATATTAATGACCTATAAAGTAAAGCATAGGTCTTCATGATAAACATGACTTATGAGGGTTATCTGGCATGTGGTCTGCTCTATTGTTGTCCTGTTTGTGAATTCTCTTATATCATATCAGTATCAGTATTGAATAATATTTAATAAGTGTTAATATAGAGTTGTGTTTCTGTAAATGAACTAGTTGTAGTTAAATGTATGCTTGTATTATATGACAGGCCTGTAGTTTGGGGGGGGGGGGTGATTATGGAAAGGACAGCCCTTTTGGATGGAAAAGATCCACAGTAAATCACAATTTGAATTAGGTTTTTGCCATTCCTCAAGTTGGGTAATTTAAGGGGGGTGAGAAGGCCCTCTTTTTCAATAAAAGACCCCCCCCCCCTTTTGAAATTGCCGGCTACAGGCCTGTATGAAATATCAGCTGGATAAAAGCAACAAACTTTAACTTTTGATGTCTCACAATTTAAGCACAGTGACTGTGATTTCAAATTGTAAAAGATACTTTATGGTATTACCATACTCGAACACAAATTTTTAACTATTAAGTAGGTGTTGTAACACCCCTGTTGTAATACAAAAGATAATGGTCCGGAGAGGAGTTAGATTTAAAGACCTTCACACTGATAACCATCCTGAGCTAAGAAATTACACACACACCAGTTAATGGTTGTCAACAAGTTAACTGTTTTGAAACAGAGAATGAATTATGCCATCCTTGTGTCAATTTCTAATAATTAATTTTAAACATGTGCTGCATTCTGTCATCTTTGCCACATTGAAGATATGAAGTACTGTGAAACACATGTTGCTTTCAGTCATATTTATCAGTATAAATAGTTTTGAACTCGAGGTGCATTATCTTGTCTTAACTCTGGATCCTCTCATGTATTTCAGGGTTATATGAAAGCAGAGGGCACTGCCCATCTCCCCTCTGAGACCAGGGCACTGGCTATGAATGCCTGCGCCACACTGGTGTATCCTTACACAGTACAGGAGAAGAGATAAAGTTTTAAAAATGATTTTTAAAAGTTAAAACAGTGTTATTTAAAAGTTTTCATTTTGGTAATTGTAAGGCATGAGTTATATTTGAGTGCTTTTATATGTTATTGATTAGAATTAGCATTTACTGATACTTTCATTTGAATTTGATTGATTTGTAATATGCGTGCAGCACACTGAGGTATATTTTGCACAGTAATATGATTGCTGTGTATTGAATGATTCATATAAGCTAGCTTCATTTGATAATATGTTGTAAATATAAAATTAAATTGCTGTGAATGGCATTGTTTATTTGAGGGACAGATTTAATCTAATTGTTAGTAGATGGTAACTTTTGAAAAAAAAAGCTGTTTAAATAAATCAGACTTGATTTTGGATATATAAATTCCCTCCTTAACCACCATGCAGTAAATTGGACCCCATTCTCTCTGATGCTGAACTCTTCGATCTTATCAAGACTTCCACAGACTGTGTCTTCCCACTGCCATTAGATGGCACCACAGGCAAGAAGGGCAAAGAGGATCCAGACCAGCAGTTAGAGCATGAAGTTTTACTAGAAAGCACCTTGGAAGCCTTGGATGATTTACTAAAAGAAATCCTCTTAAAGAATCTTTCACCTGCAGGCCTGGAGAGCATATTTAAGGTACAGTTCCAGATGGGTACATAATGTATACAATTTATACAGCTTATTCTGACTGAAAACACTAAGTCTGAGTATTGAAATAATAACAAAATTGTTTGTTCTTTTTCTAATCAAAATCTTACATTAAAATTTGAAATTGCTTTTATTTCAGGACCCTTTATATTATGGCATTGTGAAGTGCCTGTTCTAAATGTTCATCCTCTAGCAAACTTCTCTTTCATCTAATTTATATTTACTGAACCCTATTATAGTAAAATGTTAAAATAATAAGAAAGAATACTACTTAAAAGGAATGCTTAGGGCTGAATATTTGCACTAGTATGTACCTTAATAATGAATTTGAGATCTTCAAGTTAATTTTTTTATGAACAATGTAGCACCTGGTGCCGTGGATGTTGTCTATTCACGAGCATGAACGTCTCCGTGCCATAAGAACAACACACAACTTGCTGCAGTGCTATCTTGAAAAGTTTGAGTTTGGAATGGGGGTAAATGTCTTTTTCTTACTAGAATATTAATACATTGTTGAGTCAAGAAATAATCCTGAAAACCTTTATCCATAAATGTATGTTAAATGTTTTATCTTCATGTTTTATTTTAACAAGTAAAGGTCGATGAAGATAACTGAAAATCTTGGAAATTTACTGCGGCAGTTACTGACAGATTAATTATTCTTTTTTTATCATAATTTATATATTTATAAATGTGCTTGTTTAAGATCTGCTTCAAAACTTTTAAACTACTGTCACGATTATCACATTTAACAAATGCCTTATGGTAATAAACTTAAGTGTTTAAGGACTGGAATTTATCAATAATATATAATGTACACTACACATTATTAAGTATGACCACACCTAATCTAAAGATAAAGAGAGATCACCACTCAGTTCTCCTGTCTCTCATTCAGAGTGGTTCCCCAGTGTTCACAACCCTCCAGCTCCTCCTGGGCCGCCTCATTCCAAGGTGTACTGACAGTGAAGTAGACATCAGGCAGCTGTCCATAGAGACGGTACAGACCACACTCAAGATACAGTTGAGATATGAAGGTATGGAAAATAATACTTTGTCTGGGCTCATTTTAGAAAACATGTTTCAGACAAATTAACGGATTATGTATGCTAGCTAAGCCGTGTATTTAAGCAATCAAAGAAACCATCCTTTGGGGATTGTAATGCTTTATGCAATCTTTGGGAATTTTCATTTTGATTGATTAATCTAGTGTAATGCTGTTCTTATGGGGAGTAAATCTCACTGCACCCTCTACGTCATTAAGGCCAAGTAAGACCCAACTTTACATTTAGTTATAATAATAATAATGATAATAATAATAATTATTATTATTATTATTGTTGTTATTATTATTATTTGTCAGGAAATCCTCCAGGCCACAAAGACCAGATGGTGGATGCTCTCCCCACACTCAAAGACAGGGTGAAGAAAAATGACCCCAATCTTCTCTTTAGTGTTATCAATGACTTATCAAAGGTAACAGTTGAAATCACTTGATATAAGACTAAGGAAAAATACCTAAAATTTTAATTTGAAGATGCCAAAATGTCGAAAAGAAAAAAAAATAGAATGTAATTCCAAAATAAGACAACTCTGAAGGAGTTAAATAGGAAAAAAAGAATTATAATTATTATGTTGAATAAATCTTTTGGATCATTTGCCATAACATTGAATGATAAATAAACAATTTCGTATCCAGGTGCTGGCTAAGAAGGTCCCCAGTGGTCAGTTACAGGGCCTGGTGGACCTCTTAATGCAAGGACTGCTGGACTCTCAGTCCCACAGTTCATCAGGAGCATGTGTGGCCCTTAACAGTTTGTTCAAGTCAAGGGGAGGGGAGCTCCATGAGCAGGTGGGTGGAGTTTGGCCATTATGTGATAATATAATAAGTAGCTGGCACAAACTTACGCCAAAGTAAAGAGAGGCACAGGATGTACAGTGTATATCAAAGTATGAGGCGAAAGTCTTCTGGATTTATCTGGAAATTTGGATATTAAGGTGTAACAGTTTGTATTAATTTTATACCTCCTGGAACCCTCATATAATCCTTTGTGCCTTTGGCACTTGCATTTTCAGATTTTTTGCCATGTCCACTTTCTTTTCTGTGAGTGTACAGTTTAAAAGAATGATGTTTAGTATACCTTTTGTTTTTGCATGTGTATTGAATATTTATATGGCTGTTAATTTAGGTGTCACGCCTGATAAGAGAGTTACATGACAAGCTGGCCTTGATCACGTATCCACAAACACGGACAGGGACCTTACGAGCCATACGAACGCTGGCAACACATCACCTGATTTCTGTAGTCACTGCGCTGCTCAACTTTCGTCTTCCATATGACGAGTAAGTGGGCTGAAATAAACAAACAAATGATTTGATGTGAAGAGTGAAAAAGAGTATCTGAAATATCAGGATGAGTTAGTAAGAGAATAAATTTTAAGTCTTTGCTTCTTATGAGGTTTGTTAACTGAATATTTTATGTGAAATTCAGTGATCAATCAATGAGAGTAAATAAATCAGATTTGAGGAATGGAAAAAAAGGTTAATTTGAAAATCAATCAGTGGTAATGTAAAAAAATCAATTTGACTCTGTTACATATAAAAAAGTTCACTTACCAAAATATTGGTTAGAAAATACCAAGTTTGATGATTGTTCATTTAACTGTAAGTCTTAGAGTAAATGATTGTAAAACCAAGTTGTTCTCATGTGTAAGAATATAGAAATATACTGGCTTTATTTCCTTTCAGACACATCGTGGACTGTTGGAAAACCCTGGCACAAGATGCCCAGCTCACAAACAGTATATTTAGCCACATTCTAGAACTTCTGTCAAGGAGCTTGCCCTATGAGGAGAAAGCGTCAAACAATGACAAAGAGGATCCAATAAGGACTGCCTGCCAGCTCCCTCTGGCTGTAAGTTTCATAGTGGGGTTTACTAAGTTAGCTGAACCCCATTTCATGTTTATGTTTTAGTTTTGCCTATTAGAAGATCAGTTTCTTTGAAAAGTACTACTTAAATAGCAAAAAATACTATTAGTGATAATGAAATGCAAATAATTATCATTTTAGCTTTTAATGCCTTGACTTAATGAATGCTAAATTTTCAAAGCAATTACAATGGAAATTCTAGCCTGCATGCAGTTGGAAGTTCACTGCTATTTCAAGTAAAAGAAATAACAATGGGGGTTTTACAAGATGACACAAGTATCATTATATCTTTCCAGGCCACATCAGCATTACATGTGATATTTCAAGTGGAAGAAACAGAGGCTCAGGTGCTGCAAAACTACAACAGATTGTTTGTGTCTTTGTTGATTGAAATATGTTCTATGCTTGATGTACAGCCCCCTAAAGAGAAAAAGGTAAGAAAAAATTATATATTATATTGATTGGTATGGTTTGTCACATTATTCTTCCTCCAATAGAAAGTGCTAGTCTAGCTTGAAATATTGAGAATTTTGTTGAAAATTTAAATTAATATAATTGTCATTCATGACGGATAGAGCAAATTTATTAATCCAAATATAGAAAGTATCTTGTTTTTGGATAACTCACAGTTAATGATGTTATGGTTAGCAGATAATTACAATTTTATATTTTGTGTTTAATATTTGGAAAGGACATAAACTTTTTCAATGTATTGGTCACAGATATCGTTCACTTTTGGTTCATATCCAGGATGATACAAAAGAGGAAACAAAGAGTCCAAGAGGGAAAAAAGGCGCTCAACCCAAAGAAGTCAAATTGGTGCCCAGCAAGTGAGTTGATTTTGATTACATCAGAAATTAGGTGTCAATTCGATGCAAGCACAGTAGTATTTTGTTCAGTGTAACAAAGGCAACATCATTTGGGATCCAGATTACTGATATTTTGAAAGTTGAAATTTATCATGATCTCCTGTCCAATTTTTTCATATGTCAAATGTCACACTTTATCAATTGCATGCATGCTAACCCAGTCTCTATTTCATAGAATATAACAACATGCTTGTAGTGGGCTGAAGCATGCAAAGCCAACTTGACAATGTATGAGCTATACTGATATTAGAATATTAAAATCATCAATATCTTTACTTTATCCCATGCAGTATGTGTGTTGAAGCTTTCAAAGGCCTGCTGGAGAGATCTAAAAGTGAGGGTGTCATGGAAGATCTGGACGCTGAGAACACATGGGAAAATCTTCAAAACAAGGAGACATTCACTGAAGCTGTGACTACGCTAGCCAGGTAAAAGATGGAAATGAGGTGTTGATTCTGTGAAAATTACAATTTATAGGATATTACTGTTAATATTATAGGATGTTACTGTTTATGCAAATAGATTTGCGAAGATTAAGTTATTAAATTTGTCTCAGTCAGCATTGCAGTAATTTTTTATCATTCTGAAGTACAATTATAGAGGTAAAATGTTGAGAAAGATGGAAAAGGTATATTTCATTCAAGTACAGGCTATTACCTTCTTTTGTGATGGACATCTTCAGTCAGAAGGTTTTTTCATGTACCTCCTACATGTATATGATATTGTGTATTATAAAAATATTGTAGTTCTTATTGAACTGGCCAAGAAGCCTTCTGAACCAAATATATATATTAATTGTGTTGAATTTATTCTTAAGAGCTGACTTTGTAAAAACCATTTATTTTCCTTCCAGGTCTGTGTGTACTCACCAGGGGGAGTGTGTGGCCAAGCTAGTCTCCTGTCTGACCCCAGTGTTCACCAGTCTCTATGACCCACAGAGGATAGGGGCTGTAGCTTTCTGTGCTGAGGTATAGAATGCCTTCTCTCTTTCTCTCACTCAAACTAACACACTCTCATACACACACATTCATAGAGGATAGGGGCTGTAGCTTTCTATGCTGATGTGTAGAATGCCCTCTCTCTCTCTCACACACTCAAACTAACCCACTCGCATACACACATTTATAGAGAATAGGGCTGTAGCTTTCTCTGCTGAGACATAAAGCACTCTCTTTTTGTACAAAAGTTATTCAAGCCATGTGTAAAATGCTGAAAAAAGTGTATGCACAGACACTAACAGATTGATAATGCAATTTTAGATGATGAAATTAAAATGGGTGACTGTAAGAATTGTTTTATGAAGTGTCTGAACTCATCAGTTCTGATGATTGCACTTTCCAGCTAATACAGCAACGTTGTGCGGGTGATCTCACCTTAGTGGAACTTCTGATGAACAGCTTACTGGGAAGACTTGTGGACTCGAACCACAAAGTCAGGATGGTCTGTATAAGAGGTCTGGGAAATGTGTCCAGTGTCGGCTCTGAGCAGGTACAAAAATGAGATACTTGTTTGATGATTACAGTCTGTGCCAAAATCATTTTAGGTTACTGGTCATTTGAGACACCTGGATCTAAGAATCTTCGATCCAAAGCAGAAACGGTGGCCAGAAACTGAGCAGTTTTATTAAATTGTACTGGCCTGAATTTATTGTTACTTGCATTTGATGTGGGGCTAAAGTTGATGTCACAGACTGATTATGCTCAATACTTTTTGAGAATTAAAAAGTTTAAAATGTAAACTGGTGTGAATTTTTCTATCAAGATAATTTTGTAAATTTAAGTGGATGGACCAGGACCTGGTGTCATAAATGCTGGATAACACTGTCCTATGGATGATTTCTTACCACTAAAGACCAATATCAGAGGCCAAAAAATGATCTAGTATTTGGGGAGCATAACTTTACCCTCTTTAAATTAACCGTTCAAAGGATATAGATTTTCTTCAGTGGACAACATTATCCAAAGGATAGCACTATCCAGCATTTATGATTGTCATTGTTAACAAAAATTTCTGTGGATTTGTTTATTTTTCCCTCCAGTATTTTCTTCAGATATCTTAATATATTTTTCTGTTATCAAGGTTCAAAAGTTTTCAACCACGGTGTTGTCGGCCATGATGGCAGGAATGGATGACAAGGATGATATAGATGATGACATCACACTGGAGGCAATGGAGGGGCTGTCAAAACTGCTGGAGCAGATCAATGAGAGTCATATACGAGCCATACTGATCAATATCTCACTGAAGATTCGACCTTGCTTTGAAAAGGTTTGTTTTATCAGTAAATCATATTTTTCAGCTGCTCAGATGAGCGTTACATATCTAAATTTCACTGAAAATAAGGGCATGTTTTGAAAAGTTTTTCATTAATTGTTCGAATAGCTTCTGACTTATGAACGTGTCCAATAAATATTGCAACGTCTCAAGTAATATATGTTTATGTTAATATTTACTTTTTTTGAAGGACAAAGAGGCTGTGAGAGCAGCTGCATTTACCTTATTTGGTAATCTTTCCAAATTTGGAGATGGTCCTTCTAGAGCACCTTTCCTCGAGCAGATTCACACCAACTTTGTCAGTCTTCTCCTCCATTTGAACGACCCAGAGGAACAAGTGCAGAAGGTACATCATTTATAAACTAGTCAAGGAATCAAAGTTTGGAGGTTAACATTTGTTATCAGTCCAAATCCTGTGTGGATTTGTTAATAGGAAAAAAATTAACCTTTGCAAGCTTTTGATAGTAATTTACACATCATATACATTTCATATGATAATCCTATAGCACATAATCTTTTGTGGATACAGATTGTGTGAAGAAACTTGTTTAAATGTTTAACTCAGATGATACTATGCCTACACCATGTGATCATATATGAAGTACCATGATTATATGTATCTACTTGTACCTTTAAAATCTGATATATATATTATAGTTATAGTTATTATACTATGCTTTAATATGTTTGTAAGTCAAGAGAACAATTATATTTTGCCTACTGTAAAAGTGTAACCCACTTTAGTTAATGCGTGTACTTATGTATTGCCCTCTCTTCCTGTAGATTTACACACTAAGAAAATAATTGAAATTTAAATGTAGACATGTGATGCTAACTGTAAGAGGTCATTGCGGTTTCAGTCCTGCAAGTTTGCTCTACGACTGCTAGGCCCTCTGATGGGGTCTACTGCTATCAATGGCATGTTCCAGAAACATCTTCTCGAAGATGCTCGCTTGCACTATGGTGAATTCATGAATGACCTGTCCAAGATTATCGTGAGTATATGAAGACAATTAGGTTTGAAAAATTTAAGTTCACTGCAATGCATTTTACAAAATCTTTTCTACTCTGCAGAGTTTTGTTTCCTGGTTAAATTGTGCCTTTTAGACAAAATAAATAAATAAATAAATAAATAAATAATAATAATAAAATAATAATAATAATAAATGTTATATCTATACATATCTTAAAACAGCTAAAAATTATTAACTTGATGAAGATTTGATAATTAATGATTTGTCACTGAATTTAAAAGAAAAGCAGCTAACCATTTTAATTTACCTGGAAACAACTGGTATCCAGTTATTAGTCAAAACATGAAAAATTATACCCTTTCATGACAGTTTTGACTGTGAAGCGTTGTCAAAACTGTTAAGGGAAAGATTTGATTTTTTAATAACAATAAATATTTTTAAACCACTTAAACCTGATAAATGGTGAATACACCAAAAATTGTTTCAGTCAATTTAGGGTATTTCAAACCCCTTTTTGTGGAGAGTGCACATAATATATATTGAATATCAAAATGATCATTTTCAGATCAAAGACATCCCCGATAAGGTGAACTTTTATGTCATGGGTTGTGTGTCCTTCTTTAAGAGTCAGTGGCCAGAGATAAAGTGCAATGCTGCTATGTTTGCGGGTAAATATCAGTTATTTAGGAAAATGAAGCTTTAACAAGTCGGTAACGGATCAAGAAATACTTTTTCAGGCAAAGTCTTGTTTCTAAAGCATGTACTTACAGCACCATTCCCGGTGGTTATATAAAGTTTTCTCTTTCATGCATTTGGTCATTCTCACCTTTGCTTCGTACAGGATGAATTGATATTGTGAAAAAGTACTGAAGTTTTCTTTAGTATTTCTATAGTATTGTTACAAGCACATTCATTGAAGAGTATTTTTAAACATGGATGTACCATTTATTGCTCATTATATTTCTAGGTTTCCTTATGGGCAACTTGAGCAAAGATAAACATACTCTTGTGAGCAAAGAACATGTGTGCGGAGGTAGGAGCATAGTGTTATCAATTTTGAAATTAAATTCAATATTATCTTTAGTTAGTGCTTTTAAAGACTTTAAAAAATATTCTTGACTTAAATAACCTGTAAGTTTTTAAAGTGTTTGAAGAATTCTTTAGGGTCACTCATGTATAAAAATTAAGTTCCCTTCCCATATGAAAAACTGAAGTTTTTTTTTTAAGTCATGACTGTATTTGTTTTCAGCTCTCATTCTGTTACTAAAGGACTCCTCCCCCTCTGTGCGTAGTAAGGCAGCAGAAGCTATGAGCTGGCTGTACGATTACTGATCATGAGATGTCAGTGGAGAATAATGTGATGTGAGTATGAAAGGCAGTGGCACCCTCTGTTGAGAAAATGTGAACGTTACATGTTGAAAAAAACAGAATGTGATTGAAAGTTGAAAAATGACCGTAGACAAGGAGGGTTTGTGTACTGGTCAGTAGTCTAATATGGCAGTTTACATATAACAGTTTTCATAGGAGTAAAGTCAGGATTTAATAATTGCCTAAAATATATAGATGTGCTTAGCTTGTGAACCTTTTTGGCATTGTAAAAGGTACTATACATGTATTTGAAAGCAATATATTGTTGGGAGAATAGATTAATCATTGTGACTATGTTTAAATTGATGTTTTCTTTATTTTTTTCTCTAGTTATAAAGCAAACCATCATGTGCACATGCTGCAGACCAAAGAGAGTTAAGAGGACTTAAAACATTCAAATAAAGCATTCCATTGCATAATGTCTATCTGTAAGGGAATTCCTGCACATGTGCCCTGCCCTTATATTAATTAACATACAAACAGGCATCATTGGCAAGACCTTGAAGGTTTCAAGTTAATTATTGGATCTAAACAAAAGTACAGCCTCAATGGGACAAAAAAGCATATCAGTGGGGCTTGAACTTTAAATTCAATCATGATGAAACTGACCCTTGTTCATAATATATATGATTTAAATATATGCAGTCACTACGATGTTCTTCATACTGCTGAAAATTTTAATCATTGTGGCTCGAATTAAAAAAAGGTTGATTTGGAAATGTATGCACAGTTGTTTAAATTATAAGGTAGTTGTTTGCTGTGATAATAACATGGAAATATTGTATTGTGTGCATAAGCAAGAAAACCAAAAGATGAAACTGTGCAAAGACTAAGAAAGGGTTATCCAGAAGTTGACTGAAATATTGTCCTTTTCTTACTTATTTTTCAAGGGAATTAAGCAGGGTTTGGTTATTTACTTTAATGTGGAGTGCACATATAAAAGTTAGCTTAATTATTGTTAATTTATCAAGGTGAAAAGTATTTATGTTAAAAAATTATTTTGCTTAGGAATTCTATGTCAGATAAACTGAAACAAAGCAACATGATTGCAAGTGCGAAGAATAATTTTATGTGGTCAGCCTTATTTAGTCATTTAAGGGGTCAGAGTCTGTAGAAGATTAGGTTTTGGGATATTAAAAAAACTGATTAGAAGGAAGCAAAATCCTTAGCTAATTATGATGCATACCGTCCTAGTTAAGTTTGATGATTTCAGCAAAATAATGTCAGACCTTAAAGGAAGACATCCATATATTATGTTTTAAACTGATTAAATCATGAAGTGGAATTGTGCAGCTGTATTTATTAACAACTGCATAGTACCATTTAATTTATTTGAGATCTTTTGATGGCAATATCCATTTGGGCCAAAAGATGCATCAAGCGTAAGCAAATGTAAAGCTGTAAGTGCATGAATATGAAGATAATGTAGATAAGTAAATGTCATGATAGCGGAGAGGATTTATTGCAAAATGATTGTTAATAAAGGAGTATATTCACCACACTGCAGCTTTATAATATTTTACATTTTACTGTAAGATTAATTAATAATTTATTGAAAGAGAATAAATGTTGCTTACAGAGAAACTTTTTCTGATAGTCATTTTGCTGGACATATTTTATTTTCAAACTAGTACACGTTATGCCAATCCTAAAAATAAATTTCTAATAATAAATAGCAACACCTTTAAATAAATTAGAGGCATGTCAAAGGGAATTTTGAAATAAAAAATTAAAACTATTTCCAGTCCTTTTATAAATAATATAAAAAGTTTAATATTAAAGAATTTACATTTCTGATTATTCTTTCATCAATCTATTTATTTATTTATTTAAACATGTATTCATTCACTCAATAATATCAACTCATACTAAGAAATTTATCCAGTTTTATTAATCATGTATTTATTTATATATTCATAATTAAGTGACAATACAATATTCACCTGCATTTAAGAATCTGTGGCAGCTGTCTGGAGACTGTGGCTGAAGCCTGCTGTGTCACAGACACTGTAACAGCACACAACTCCTTCATCTGTGGAGGACAAGAGAAGTACAACTCCCAGGGTCCACCGTCATGCTGGTTCCTGGCCTGCATTTTACTTATTGGATATGATGTACTAAAATGATGTGGTCTAAAATTTTCACAGTCGATGCTAGCTGGTTAATTTACATGTACTTTGCTCTACATGTATGTTGAAAATGAATGAATAAGTGAAAGGCTTGAATTGTCTGTAAACTGTAGTTTAAAATACTTGCATTAAACTCAACTTTTGTTTTCCGTTTATGTACTAGTACATTGTACTTGCAGATGTAAAGTGCAAAAAAATAAAATAAAATAAAATAAAAAATATATAAATAAATAAATTATATATATATATTATCAGGCCCGTAGCCAGCAATTTCAGAAGGGGGGGGGGGGGCGTTTTCTGAAAAAGTGGATCTTTTACCATAAAATCCTCAAGTACATACCGTGTAGATCAAATTTTACCCAGAGTGGACCTTTTTCCCACCAAAAAGGATGTCTATCAACCCCCCCCCCCCCCCCCAACCCCCCCCCCCCCCTTTTTTTCC